TTTTCGGTACCAACCGACTTTACTTCTGGTTGGCAACTAGAATAGCTATTCTCGCACTTGTGGCGAATGCCTTTGCGAGTCGATTTGCTCTAATTTAATACTGGTTTATACAGTTGTTAGTAGCAATTTTTAGTGTGCCGATCAGAAAATAGATGGAGACCCTGTCTTCATTTTACTTGTATCAAACCCAGTTCCGGGATGGAACCAAAAATGGGTTGTGTTTTCTCTCTGCGGGACCTAAATAAACCGTGCTGATGAGCTGTGATACAGCGAAACGCGTCCACGGATGGTCTTGCAGAGATAAAACACTTCTCAATCGGTCCTTAATTGGGCCGTTACCTAATTAATATCAATGTTTTTCGGTACCAACCGACTTTACTTCTGGTTGGCAACTAGAATAGCTATTCTCGCACTTGTGGCGAATGCCTTTGCGAGTCGATTTGCTCTAATTTAATACTGGTTTATACAGTTGTTAGTAGCAATTTTTAGTGTGTCGATCAGAAAATAGATGGAGACCCTGTCTTCATTTTACTTGTATCAAACCCAGTTCCGGGATGGAACCAAAAATGGGTTGTGTTTTCTCTCTGCGGGACCTAAACCGTGCTGATGAGCTATGATACAGCGAAACGCGTCCACGGATGGTCTTGCAGAGATAAAACACTTCTCAATCGGTCCTTAATTGGGCCGTTACCTAATTAATATGATAGCTATCCACTGCCGCGATTGGATGAGCTATTACATGCCGCGAAACTGATTCTTTACATGATCTTAGATCCGATTACCATCAAGTTAGTGTTTTTGAGCCAGATCGCGATAAAACAGGTTTTACAACAACGTTTGGTATTTTTCGTTATAAGAGAATGCCATTCGAACTCAAAAATGCGCCGGCAACATTTCAACGGATTATAAATCGGTTTAAGAATGGACTTAAACGGAACACCGATAATAGTGAAATCGTAGTGTTTGCGTACCTCAATGATTTAATCGTGTTATCGAATTCGTTTGAAGATCCTATGATAGATTTGAAGCAGTATTTAATATGTGCAAACCGCGAGAATTGCGTATTCGCATGTGCTCAAGTGAAATATTTGGGACATCTGATCACACCTCAAGGTCTTTCAGTAGATCCAGAAAAAATATCAGCCATAGCAAAAAGACCTCCATACCAAGAAATATACATGAAGTGCAATCGTTTTTATAAACTGCAAGTTGGTTTCGACGCTTTATTGATGGATTTGCTGAAATGTCACGCCCATTAAGTAACCTCCCGAAAAAAAAATGTTTTTTGGAGATGGACATCCGTTGAGCAAGAGTCCTTTGACAATTTAAAGAAATTGTTCACTACGGCACCCTTCCTTAAACAATGCGATTATACCAAGCCTTACATAATAAGAACCGATTCAAGCGGTTATGCTCTTGGAGCTTGTTTACTTCAAGGGGATAGTGAAAAAAATGAACACCCTATCGAATATGCAAGTAGATTATTAACTGCTACAGAAAGAAACTATTCTACTTCTGAAAGAGAAGCCTTGGCTGTAGTGTGGGCTTTAAACAAATTTCGTGGGTACATAGAGTGTTCACTTGTAACCATACAGACAGATCATCAAGCTTTGAGATGGCTGTTAAATATAAAGTCTCCAACTGGTAAACTAGCCAGATGGGCATCACAGATTCAAAGTTATGATTTAAAAATTAAATATCTATACCAGGAAAGAGAAACTTCATAGCTGATATGCTTGCAAGACCACCCTGTGAACATTACACCTTTGAAAATTGTGAGATTTGTACATTTTCCATAGAAATGCCTCGTAGAAGCACTGCGGAATTGCGAGAAGAGCAATTAGAAGATCCCGATATAGTCAAAATAATCAAATGCTTCGAAGATTCGAGCGATGTAGTTTAGTGATAGTTTAGAAAGTGGACAGAAAGAGGTTATATTATGACACAAGGAGTTTCATACAGATATTCTCCTGAAAGCGACGAAGAAGATGTACAGCTTGTAGTACCTAAACAGGAGAGAGAAAAGGTTCTTCAGGAACATCATGATGATCCAAGCACCGGACATTATGGTATTGAACGAACGTTTCATCGAATATCGAAAAGATACTATTTTTCTGGGATGCGAAGATACATAGCAGATTGTTTGAAATCTTGCACAGATTGTCAAAGATACAAGCCAACAAATCAAAAACCTGCAGGATTGTTATAAACACCCGTTTATGCTTAAAGATTTGAGACATTGGCTATTGACTTATTTGGACCACTTCCGCCCGGACCTGGGAAAGAAACATGGATATTTATAGTAGAATAGTATAGTTTCTCTTAAAACAAGCTACTGTCGAAAGTTGTGCTACTATTCTGGTGAATGAAATCTTCTTTAGATATGGAATATGCAAGAAATTGATTAGCGATAATGGAGTACAGTTTATATCTGCCATTATGCAACAATTGTGTTTCATCCTAAAAATTAAACAAGCAAACATACTGCTTTACCATGCTTCTACTAATATGGTTGAACAAAAAACAGAGACTTTAAGTCAAGACTTGCTATTTTAGTTAAAGATGATCATGGGTCTTGGCCTGAAAAATTACCCGTGGTAAGATTTTCAATGAATTCTACTTAGTGTGAAACTACAGGACAATCCGCTGCTTATTTGAATTTAGGCAGAGAATTACGAATGTTAGATGACGTGAGTAACGACATAGAAGCTACAATTGAAGCGGAAAATTTTGTGGCTCAGATCACGCCTTACCTAAATAAAATGTTGATACTTGGGATGAAGCTAAAGAGCTCAATTAAAAACAACAAGATCGTCAAAAGATAAATGCAGATACAAGAAGAAAAGATGTACCTAAGCTTAACGTAGGCGATAAAGTATGAGTGACAGTACATGCTTCAAGCAGTGCCGCAAAAGGAATTACATCAAAGTTTTATCCTAAACGGAATGGACCATATATATGAAATAATAAAAGTGGTCTCTCCAACAAGCTACCAAATATCTAATGAAAATGATTTAACAGTGTCTTCAGGCGTGCATCACATATCAAATTTGGCACCAGCCATTGCTACAAAAAGAGAACAGCCTAAAGCTCCAGGTCCTGGCTGGCTCTAAATTGAACTTTTGAAAGGGAGATGAAGTCCCAAGTGAATTGAAAAAGGCAACCATAGCATCCATCTATGAAATAGGCAGCAGAAAAGACTGCGCGAATTATAAAGGTGTAAGCGTTATGCCGTCCATAGCTCGAATGTACGGACGCATAATAAAATAGAGAATAGAGACAGATACAAGAAAAGCTGAAGAACAAAATGGATTCAGACCAGCATCGATGCTGTGTTTACGCTTAGAAATCTTGTTGAAAAGAGAACGCCCAGAGAACTCACAACCCATTTAGTTTTTGTCGATTTGCAAAAAGCATACGACACTATTCCACAAAGTAAGTTGTGGACATCTATGATAAATAATGCTGTAAATTATTCTTATATGAACGCCGTTAAATCATTTTACACCAACTGCACAAGTATGATAAAAATGGACAACCAGCTATCTCATGAGTTTTTAGTTACAAAAGGCCTTCGGCACGGCTGCACCCTTTTTAAAGTAGGTATATCTGGAAGAGGCTCTTAAAACCTGGAAGAGACGATGCAGAGGAATGGGCATACCAATAGGAGAAGAGATTCTCTATACGCTATTTTTTGCCGACGACCAAGTTCTTATGCCTGATGGAGATGGTGACGATGCGGAGTATATGTTACGCAAACGATGAGGCCTAGTCATAAATATGTCAAAGACAGAGTATTTGAAAGTGGGAGAAACGGAGAAACTGACCTAGAAGATCTTGCTATTGACAGTGGCACTGTAAAAGGATGTAAGGTATTCAAGTATTTGGGCGTGACAATCTCGGCGGAGGGTAAGAGCCTAGGAGATATCAACAACAAAATAGGACAAGAGAAACAAGCTATTAGACAACTGAATAGCGTTCTTTGGAACAGCAATATAACCAGAAGAACTAAGCATAGTATTTACCGCTAAATAGTAGAGAGTATAAGCACCTATGGATCGGAAATTTGGGAGCTGAACCAACGACAAAAAAAAACGCCTACTAGCCCTAGAAATGGATTTTTGGAGACAAAGTTGTGGAATATCTAAGCTAGACCACGTGAGGAATCAAACCATCAGAGAAATAATGTATGTACAAGGTTCCATAATAGATACCATAGAAAGAAAGGGATTCCTATGGTATGGTCATTTAGAACGCATGGGCACCAATGGATGGCCTGAAAGAGTATGGCAGTGGACTCCGCTACAAAGACGGAAACGAGGAAGACCCTCAAAATCCTGGAGAGAAGATGTGATAGAGGCCATGAAAGCAAAGGGCCTCAATGATGGCGATTGGAACGACAGAAGATGGAAATCAGGGAGCGAGAAGCAGCGACAGCTGTAAAAGACTTGATATGTATATATAGAACAGCCTATTGTGGCTATAAGAAAAAGGGGATGACCTAAGAAAAATAACTTTTAACTGGTCTCCTCTCATTAAGCTTGAGACCAAGGGGGGAGAGTATAACAAATATTAACTCAGTATCTCATCCTTATCCCATAATATTTAAATATGCACACATACCGATGCCGCCATCGAACGTGCTAACAAGTGACAAAATAAAACTCTAGCGTTCAGTTGACGCTGTGATGAGATGTCATAGTCAGTCAGTTTAATTTTGATTTTTCTATAACTTTGCGATATAATATTCCTTGTTTAAAGTTTTAGAATTTAAATAAATCACGAGATAAATCATTTGCAAACCTAAGTTATTTTCGGTTCGATCCCCAGATACAATAAATTGTACAACAATAAATTATCTACGACTTATGGTTTCACTTGAAACAACTTATTGTATCTCAGAGAGTTTTCGAGCTATCGAAATTGTTGCTGCACCGTTTTGTAGAGCATTCCAAATAGCAAATTTTGTGCGAAAATAATTCTAGTTTCATCTATTTTAGTATGGACGATGTAGCCCTTATAGATCTACCGGCAATATTTCACACAATCCTAAGCCACACTAGTCCAGACAATCAGATCATCTACATTGGACATTCGCTGGGTACCACTTTTGCCCTGATGTACGGCAGCGAATTTCCCGAAGAAGCTCGCAGCATGATCAAAATGTTCGTTTTACTTTGTCCCGCTTACACTCTCAGCAGAATGATCTCGCCTTATAAAGTGTTTGCTCCTTATGGGAACTGGGTTGTGGTAAGTACCAACTAACATCTTTTCTGTTTTGTCCCCAAAAGTTGTATCATTTGCCATTATCATTCTTATTCTATCTTAGATCCTAGTTTGAAAGTGCGTAAGCATTCAATATCCTTGTACAATATAAAGAATTCTGGTATGTGTTAGTTTTTTAACCTTACGCCTTTTAATAGACATTCACCTCAGATAACTATCATATATCACTTCATATATTCATTATTTTTTTCACTACTGATATGTGGGTAATTGCATTTGCATGAATATTTCTTTTGTTGCTACCCATTATTATTAATGTTTTCCCACCTTTCTAATTTGAACATTAGGAAAACTTGAAGTGTTTAATGTTCTTTGTAAATTGGGTATTTTTTAGTCACTATAACTTCCATATGGTACTTGTATTTATAATGAATTATTGATTTTTCCTTAGGATACAGTCCGTGATTTGCAAATAGAACGTATCGTGTCAGAAGCCAACGAACTAAGCAGATTGATTCAGCCTTGCAAAGAATCGCCGCCAATGATGAGATTATGCATGCAACTTTATAATTTATTCTACGGACCAAAAGCCGATTTTGGACCTGTAAGTCTCACTTGTTACAATCCATCTCACTTACAAATTTAATTATTCCAGGAAATAGTTCCTGTATATTTTAGGCAATTACCTGGCGGTACTTCGATAAGGATTTTAAACCACGCCGCCGATTTGGTGCTCGGCAATTTCCGAAAGTACAATTACCCGCCGGAAATTAATTTGCAAAAGTACGGTACCACCGAGGCTCCACTTTTTGATGTATCGAAAATCGAAGTTCCTACTTATATTGTGTATAGTACTCAAGACTGGGCCACACCAGAGGCCGTAAGTACCATAGTTATTATCTAGGTATATTATTGGAATAATATTTTATTTATTAGGATGCACTTCATTTGTACAGAAATCTCAACGAGAAGGCACGTTACGGAATAAGGAAAATCGATTTGCCTTTTTTCAACCACATCGATTTTGTAATGGGGAGAAATGCTAGAAGGATTGTTTATGATCCTTTAGTTCGGATGCTTAATAAGGCAATAATACCTTAAATACATGAAGTCACTGAGAAAATCTCAATTTCTTCGTGATACTTTAATTTTTGTTGGGAATTAATTTAAATTGATTTCCGAACAAAATGAATCTATAGTTACCATTTATCATATGTGTTCAATAAATACATTAAAACATGTTTGAGTTCTTTTCATGGCGCGCTTGCTGTAAAGTAGGTACCGGTACCATCAAACTCTGGTTCTTCAATAATTACAGTTATTATAATAAATAATGTATGTATATCATTTGCTGTAATAATAATTTTAAGATAACACCTCGTATCCGTCAAACGGTTACCAGAACCAAGAAAATTGGGGTCATCGGTACCATTCCGTTTGGGTTCTTCGCCGTGCAAGAGTCAAGTTCACGGTGATTGTCACCGAAACCGTTGTAATTGTGAAGTTGTAGTAAATATGAACAATAATAGTAAAGTTTTTTTGTGGGTTTTAATCAGTACGTTGCCGACAACAATTTTCTGCGGAAAATACGTGCCGAAATGGAAAAAACAGGTAAATTTTGTTGTCGAGCTTTCGTAACATTTTGTTTGGTATGTTTTAATTACCCTTCTCGTTTTCGCGAGTCTGGAAACGAAATTACTCTGGAATAATTGCATAATTGACTAGCAAAATAGTTTTGAACTGTGGCATAACGTTTAAATGGTAAATTACATTTTCGTGTTTACATTGATTAGATTTCATTGCGAAAAGCTACGAGTGGAATGTTGCTATTGTTAATTCACATATGAAAATGTTACTCTTCTGCATGTTTTTTGTATGGGAAATAGATTAAGTCATAGGAAATAGCAATATTTACTTTAGTACTTAATATAACTCTTTTTTTACTTTTCGAGTTAGTTAATAGGTAATTATGAAAATGTTATCCAAAATCCCCAAAAAAGAGCAAGTAATCTGTAATATCCAGATTTTGAAATAATATAAATTTAAGAGATAGTTTTCTAACTCATCGCTCTTGACTGGAAGAGAAATTAGGCTTCTCGTAAATCCGATATTTGACAAATCACCAGCTGATTCTTTAAAGTTACGTTTAATCTTGTAAGCTTAACGTAGCTAAGGGCCGGTTTCTTAACGAGTCACCTCCAGGTGTTCACCCTCTGAGGCCCGATTCTCGTATCATGTCGTTTATTATACATATACAGGGCGAACAACAGGACATAAATTTGTGTACATAACGCTTCATTCCTGGAAACCAGTAAAGCTTTGACAGTGCTGCAAGTACCTCATCTTCAGAAAGGTGCCCATTTCCATCATGAAATTGAAGCAGTATCTGTCGCCTTGTTGCCTTTGGTACTAGCCACTTATTTTCATGGGGCATTACTTTGTAGAGTCTATTATTTTTGATACAGTAATTTCTATGGATTTGTTGTCCTTCCTCATCTTCTGGTATTGTCTTTAACACTTCATAATAAATTTGCATCTCTCATCAACCCCTTGAGCATGTTAAACCCAATCATCTTCGTTTATGGTGGCCATATTAGGACTAGCAATGGGCAGTGTATTTAGTGTGCGATCAATTCCTACGGGATTTCGGATCAGCATGAGACATTTTATGTCCTGGCCGGTACTCCAGGTCAAATAAAAATTATTGGATGCTTATCCACCTCCTTCCAAGTCTCGTTTGTTCAATGTTGTCCTTATCGCAATCTGTAACAACCTTAAATTCAGTTCCAACTAGATAAATCCGAAAGTGCTCTAGACTAGAGACTCTACTATACTACAGCCATTGTCTTCAGTTCGTAAGAATGATATACCTACTTGTTCTTGTTTCGTGGCTTGTCAGTCTGGAATAATAAAGTACTGGTTTCAGAAAATTATCTTGTACTTGTAATAGAATTCCTGCAACACCTAATTTCGACGTGTCTGTGTGTACTTCCGTTTTAAGTTGTGGGTCATACATTGCTAACAAAGGTCTAAATATCAACTTCTTTTTGAGCATCTCGAAAGATTCATGTTGTTCCAAATTCCAACCAAAGACATCTTTTTTCGTTAGAGACGTTAAGGGTCTCGTGATGGTAGCGAAATCCTTAATGTACTTTCTAAAATTACTTGCTATTCCCAGAAATTGCCTCACAGAATGAATGTCGGTCGGTGTTAGAAATAACTGCACGGCCTCAGTTTTTTTGAGACCTGGCTGCACTCCATTTTCAGTTATTTTATATCCTAAATACCACCATAAAGAAATAACATTTTATTAAACGCAAAGTCAGACCAGCGCTTTGAAGTGAAAGGCAAACTTCAAATTATCAAGACCTACTTCAAAACTTGAAGAAGGAAGTAAATACGTCGTCCATGTATGCTAGTGCCTTTCCGTATCTCAAATTTCCAAGAACTAATTATAGTCCTGTGAAAAATTGCAGACGCATTGCACAATACAAATGGTACTCTCAAATATTCGTAGTGTCCATCTGGTGCGTAAAGGCAGTTTTTGGAATTGAGGATTCCTCCAAAGAAATCTGGTGGTATCCACTGGCCAAGTCCAGACTCGTAACATAGTGACAGCCTTTCAATTTCTTTTATCCACAATCATCAAATAATGTCAGTTTTATCCACTCATATGAAGCGTCTAAAGTGATACTTTATCCACTAGTGGAATAAAATAACTTTATTCCACTAGTGGAATAATGAAATTAGGAAATACGAAATTTTTATCCTATTTATTGATATTAACATTAACATTTATATTAATAGATACTCCGTTGTTTGATTTGTCTCCTATAACTTCGTTATTGTTGGTAAAAAGGTGATAATTTCCATCAGCTTGGGAACGCACGTTTATGGGTGTTTTGGCAGAATTACCAGGAACAGGAATAATTGGTGTCTCCTCTTGTAAGGGACACCTATTTTCCCCTTGGATTTTGTTTGCAATACTAAGCTTACTGAGAATGGAATCCTCGATATAACTTTTAGCAACAGAGGGAGCTCTTCCATCCGCCATGTGTATGTACCATCGTCACCAAAAGTATCTGGGACAAAAATAATGAATAATAATCTCCTGGACTAATTGTACTGTCATGCATTTCAATGCATTTAATTCATGGTTTGTCAAATATTTGACAATAATATTCATATAATAGTACAATAGCTAATATGATGCTGTCCCAGTTACTTTTGGTGACGATGGTAATTGTGATTGTGGAAAAAACGTTGTATTACATTCGTGTTTTAGTTGCATTTTATCCACTTAAGAAAATTAAACGCTCGAACTTCGTTCTCGCGTTTAAACCTTCATGCCTGGATAAAATGCTTCCTAAAACACTTATACAATAAATAACTATTAAAAATTCGTCAACACGGGGAAGAGGATACTTGTCTTTAATGGTTTTCCAATTCAGTAAACGATAATCCACACACATGCGCAACTCACCGCTTTCTGTTTTTACTAAAAGAATTGGACTAGAATAAGGTAAATCCGATTCCCGTATTATGCCATTACATGAAAGATCATCTACCATATCTCTTACAACTTTCCTTTCATTGTAAGATAAACGATATGGTCGATAAACTACTGGACTATCGTCCGAAAGATGTATTGACATTTTGATGACATCAGCTCTTCTCAATTTACTAATTATTGTTTTTGTAGACAAAACGTTCAAACAATCATTAGGGGACTTATTTTCAAAACAAATAATGCAACGAGCCAAAATTTTATTAGCCTTTACCTCAATTTCGTGTTGAGATAAATTTGCTACAGTAACATACCCATCTTCTCCATTTGTAATACACTCGTCGATGTAGTGCTGGAACTGGCCTCAGTCCACCTCGAACGTAAACATCATCACAGATGGCACCTCGAGAAATAACTGCTACTAACGCAAAGGTTCTTGGTGGAATGATGGTGTCAGTTTCTGCCCACAGAGGTTTTTTTTTTCGGGTAAATTAGGTATTTTGTTCAAGTCTGGTTCAGCAGACAAAACTCCCACACTCTTCCCAGAGACTATCATAAGAACTCCAGGTTGATTAGAGAAGGTCTGCCAGAACATTACTGGCACATTCTGAACGTTGTCGGGTACAATAAGAGCCTTGACATCGTCTTCAGCCAGATCGATTTTAACTGAAACGTTCACTGTCCCCAAAACGGTTACTTTGGCACCATGGTCATGACACTTGGTATAAAGTGTAAATTCAGCGCCTTTGCATCTTCTTGACGTATTAGTACACCTCCGCATCCGGAATCTATGTAGGCTTTTGTAGGCGTATTATTAACCAAGCAGTCAAAGAAATAATTTTCGTCATACTCAGCATCAACATGCGACTCTACTACTTGGTTTTTCATTGTTTTTTTTTCCGGAAATCTAAATGCCCCAGACATTTACAGTGAGTGCACTCTAGTTTAGGTTTGTAACATTGATTAGCCATGTAACCTTTCTCTTTACAGTTATAGCATTGAATGAGTAGGGTTTTTTAGCACTATTTTCTCCTTTGAACTTCTTTGATACCATGGAGCCAGATTCTATAAAACTTCGTTTGTGTCCTTTAGGATGGTGGTATTTCTTAATGACCGGTGATCGTGGTCTTGTCATTTCCGATTTCAACGAGGAAAGATACTCCGCATATAATTCACCGGAAGTGTTGTACCTACCAGCTGGTGCAACTGCTTGAATTGTAGGATTACCAATTCCATCAATAAGACAAGATACAGCTTTTCTTCCACTTATTCCACATGAATTGAGACGGTCAAGTTTATTAAAATAACACTGCTGCCAAGACTCGTTTGACTCTTTAAATCGGTTGGCATGTAACTGATCAAATTGTCGTCCTATTCCTTTAGTTGAGACAGCTGTTCAATTTTTTCGATCCATTTCAGACAGCTTGAGTTTGGATTTCCAGGCGAAAACTCTGGAATGCATTCAGCTTTAATCATAGATCTTGAAAATAGTTTAAAATTGGATCTTGATCGTTCTTCTAGTAATTTTTCTACTAAAATTCCAAGCGATCGTTCCTCGATTACCGAGACGTCGATGTAGTGGAAGTAATTGGACTCTCATTTTTAGCTATTGCGACAGCCTTAGCTTGTCTAGGCTTTGGCGTTGATGACCTGATTACATTTTTTGATTTTTGAGAAGACTTTTTATTTCTTTTATAACCATAGTCACTCGAACT